CAAAGTCTTTACGGATTATTTTTGCAAAGAATTCCGCTCAAGCCAGTGCTAGGGGCCGTCTTAAACTTGCAGTGAGGTGAGAGTTGTTTTGCTCCGTGTTGAAGGCCTCACTGTGACTTTGACATCAATAAAAGTGCTGTTTCTTTGCTTTTTTTGTTTTTGCTGTGCATGCACAGATTTTGTGTCATGGATAGGTACTCATATCCTTTGTTTTTCTATTTCAAATCTTGAGCACCAGATTTTACATCTTGTGCACTGGACTTTACTTCTCCAGCACTGGACGTTACATCTTTAGCTATAGACTTTAAATCTTCACACTCAGTGCTAGACTTTCCATCTCGTGTTCTAGACTTTAAAAATCACTACTCTTTAGTATCTGTATCAGACCAACAGGGCTCGATCATACAAAACCAATGTCAAAACTAGAAACAAGTTAAAATGACAACCACTATATAGAAGGTTCGTGAATTTTGACGGTCGTAGCCGATTGACAATTTGGTAGTTGAAAGTTTTATTCAACAGAAGCTCTCAACATAGTTCCAGAATATCACAACCGATACCAGACGATCTCAACCTGGCATAATTTATATATAAATAATAAATTCAGCTTAATAAAATCATTCGCATAGAAATAAGAAAAACTGTTATCATACGTTCATATTGATTAAGAAAAACTGTCATCATACGTTCATATTGATTAAGAAAAACACTGATACACTGAGATATAAACGTCAGCTTTATTTATGAACTCACTTGTCATTTTGTCGAATACTCACTAAGCAGGCCGCACTTACCTGCGGGGAAAAGTGATTCCGATGTCATTTTAGATTATACTGTTCCGAGTAGTAAACGCGACACATTCTTCTATTTTACAAAATATTTACAAAATATTCACAAATTAACAAAAGATGGACGAAAAGTCGACCTACCCTATCTGATATTTTATACCAGAAAAGCTTAGGAAGTGCCAGGATCTGCCAGTAAACTTTTTTCTCGGTAAACCATTTGGTTGAGATTTTATGGTTTACCAGGCGTGTTACCGATCACTTTGACATCAGTAATCAAATTAAGAATATGTTCTAATCGGATGTTAGGTTCAAGTTATCACTTAAAAATCCAAATATTGAGAATCTATCTAAGTTTTTGGTAAAAATGGTTGTCATAGGATACTTAATTCCTATAGCAGCAATGTGCCGTAGATAAATTTGTCAAGAAGAGTTTCATTTGTCATTTCGGGGCCTTCCATAGCTCGGATTATGCGTTATAGGTTTTACTCATTGTTAAAGGTCGTACGGTGACCTATAGTTGTTAATTTCTGTTTCATTTGGTCTCTTGTGGAGAGTTGTCTCTTTGACAATCATACCATATCTTCTTATTTTTAAAACAACACATTCAAATGCATAAAAATCATATCAAACCACATTTTGATCACAGTACTGTTGCATTATTTCAAGTGATGGTGTAATTTAGATGAAGAAAAACATTACATATGAACTATGTATATTGGTCCGTGTAACACTTATCAATTCAAAATTTCAAAAAGTTTTGAAATTTTAGATTTTTGGAATTTTGATCAAAGTTTTAAAATATCAAAATTCTAAATTTTTTAAAAGTTTTGAAATTTTGAAATTTTCACCAAATAATTAAAAATTTTAAAATTCTAAATATCGTTTTTAAATTTGATAGTTTAGATATTTGATCAAACTTTAAAAGTACTAAACTTAACGTGCAGTTTTGATTATTTCGCTTTTTGAAAGTTTGATTTTTCAAATTTTTGATTAACATATCAAAAATAGAAAAGGGGCGAAAAGAGGGGTACCTGTAAACACGGCTCTGATTATGATCATTCTTAGTTAGGAATAAAAAGCACGAAGTATATCAAATCAGTTTTAATTACAAACTAAATGATTAAATGAAGAATTCGGATTTTTATATCACAGTATCCTGAAATTTTTAATGTTGTGCATCTATTAAATTTTTTTTTAAACCTATTAAAAAAAAATCTCTAATATTTGGTGTCCCCAGCGCCCAACATTTGGTAGTAACAGTGAAAACTGACCAACTCGCACTAAGCCAAATAGTATTATTCGACTTTTGAGCGTTCCTGATGAAGGTAGATCCAGAAAAAGCACTTCGGTCGTATGCAATTTTGAACGTTTTGTTTTCATTTTTGATCGATTGCATGGCGATAATATATTGCCTTTTATGATTGATTCAAGTTCCAATAGATATAAAAAGATGTGATATGAGTGCCAATGAGACAACTCTCCATCCAAGTCACAATTTATAAAAGTAAACCATTATAGGTCAAAGAATGGTCTTCAACATGGAGCCTTGGGTCATACCGAACAGCAAGCTATAAAGGGCCCATAAAATTACTAGTGTTAAACCATTCAAACGGGAAAAACATCTGTCTAATCTATATAAAAAAAGAGAAACGCGAAAAACTTATCTGAAACAGTAGTGTAACATCACAACATAGAAATACACAGAAGGAATACTGAATTTATGGTGTCGCAATGAACGTTGTGATAGGCGTGCTTCAGCTAGCCCCTAGACAAAAATGTGTACTAGTTCAGTGATTATGGACGTCATACTAAACTCCGAAATATAACAATGAACTTAAATTAAAATCATACAAGACTAAAAAGGCCAGAGGCCCATGAATTGAGACAGGCGCACAAATGGGCGGGGTTAAACATGTTTTGTGAGATCTCAACCATCCCCTATAACTATAGCCAATGTAGAAAAAACAAACACATGTAGCAATACGCACAGCAAAACGCACTTTACAAGAAGTCCAAGTCCTACGTCAGAATAGGAAACAAAAGAAACTGACAATGATATATAAATTAAAAAAAGGACTACTAGCAGTTGCTGACATGCCAGCTTCAGACCTCAATTAAACTAATTGAAAGATTATGTCTTCATCATATGAATATCAAGCACAATCCCTTCCTGTTGTATTTATTGCTAATTTGTTATCGTCCTGAACATGCATGAAATATATGCCACTGGCAACCAACAATCGATCATTTAAAATAGTTCGTTTACATACAAATTACAAAGAAACTTAGGTTTCAACTGCCTCGGGCAAAGTAGCCCTTAGATGGATTTTGTTATGGCCAAACACCTTTTCAATAGTTTCGGTTCTTATATTTACTTGACTTTCAAATATTCAGTTTTCAGCGTTCTGTAGGTGAATGCTTTAATTAAAATTCAGCGTTTTACATTGTCCTGATTTTTCGAGAGCAACATTGGTGTATGGCTAAAAATTAAAAATTCATCATGCAGACAGCGTGGCACTCTCTTTACACGCCCCATTCTTACTAGACAGGTACTGTCTTTTTTAACTTTGCTGAAAGTTGATTGTCGTACGCTAACTTAAAAATGCACAAATAACAAATACGGAACTAAAAAAAAACCCGTTTCCATTTATTTGCTATTTTAAAAAAATTGGCGGATTGAGTACCCCTAATCGAACTACGTATATGATAAATGCATATACTTTTTACAAGCATCAGTCCAAACGTTGTCTACAAAGTAAAAATTTAACTTCAAAAGTGGGGGTATGGTTGTTTTGTCGAGGTGAGAATTTTTTTTCGCGCTAAGCGCGAACAATTCTATTAAGTTTTTCAACGTAATTAATCAAATTATTTGGTTCATAAGTTAACACTATATGGCATGGGGAAAATCTGGATACAGAATATTTTTTTTTTGTCCTCTGCTTGTACAGAATATGTTTCCCCCTCAAATTGGGGATCAGATATCTTTTTAGGAAAAAGACATACCCCCCTTTTTGAAGTTAAATGATCGTTCCCTGACTAGGCCCCCACCTTTTCAAATTCATAGATCCGCACCTGAAAAATGTACCATTATTGTGGGAGGTCAAATATATTGTCACCTTAGTGACAATATTTATATTTCGGATTCCCAAATAGATTACCTTTTATCGCTGATATAAACTTTTAAAAATTAATTTCAATTTTCAAAATGCCGGCACCTACAAATGGATAGATGAGCGCTTAATGTACAGCTGCAACAATTGACGTGACATAAGTATGCAGGCTGAAAATAATGTTAATGGTATACGCGGTTTATATGATATGAATGTGTTCAGCTTTTACAAAACCAGAACGATGAGTTTGATGTTAACGTTTACTTTATTTGGCCTTTTTAATTTTATTTGACTGTATTGGCCTTTTTAGCTTAATTTGATTCGAGCGTCACTGATACGTCTTTTGTAGACGAAACGCGCGTCTGGCGCAAATACAAAGTTTACATCCTGGTATCTATCTATGGTGAGTTTATGTAGATACTTTATAACAGTATCCTGGCTCCAAGCTACTAATATTTGGTCTTACTCATAAATTCAGCGTAAAAAAGATATCAACAACCACCCACATTCGAGGCTAGCACAACGTTCATTGAATTCATTTTTCCTACTGTACCAATACTGAGAACTAAAATCAGAATAGGAAACAAAAGAAACTAATCAAAATGACAATGATATATAAATTAAAAAAAGGACTACTAGCAGTTACTGACGTGCCAGCTCCAGACCTCAATTATTGAAGATATTTAGAATTTTAAAATTTTAATTATTTGGTGAAAATTTCAAAATTTCAAAACTTTTAAATAATTTGGAATTTTGATATTTTAAATCTTTGATCAAAATTCCAAAAATCTAAAATTTGAAAACTTTTTAAAACTTTGAATTGATAAGTGTTACACGGACCTATATTGATATAAGATAAGATAAGATATTTTATTTCCAATTATGGGCCCCAAAGGGCATAAACATTACATCAATAATTTTTCATAATACAATACAAACAATGAGATAAAAAAAAAAAATTTAACGAGAACTATTTAAGTTCTATATAATCATCTATGGTATTACAACAACGTATAAAAGTAGTCATAATTGGAAATTCTTGAACTAAAAATAAATTATTTAGTCTGTGTTGACTACGCGTTTACTCCAAGGCAATAAATAGTTCGGTGTAAAGCGTAATGAGTCAGTTTTAGCACAGAAAGCAAACAATAAACAAGGTTCATTTTGACTAGGAGTGTATACTCTGGGTCCGGATTTTAAATCAAAATGTCTAGCTTGAATATGGAATTTGATGACGAAGACTCGATTACTTTCCAGAGTCAACCAATGGAAGAGGATACAATTCCTCAAACCAAGCCGTTGACATATGATATGGTTCCTAACTCGGCTGGTGGATATTCTTATGAGATCAATGACGAGACACGGTTACTGAGATATCTTTGTTTAGGAACAGAGGGAGGGTCTTACTATGTGACTGGCCAAGTTTTGAGGAGAGAAAACATACTGTGTATTGATAGGTAAGGATGTGGTGTGAAAACGAAAGTAGAAAACCAAATTGCTAATGTTGGGTAAAAGCCAAAACAAAATCGGAAATTGACACGTGACAACGAGTCATAATGACATAATATTTGGCCAATGCGCGGTGTTTCCGATACATGTTTTCCCATGGTTTAAATTTATTTATGCAGCCTATCCGTTTTTGACTGCTCATTTCTGTGATATGATATAACATAGCGTTTTCTAGAATTGACCTTGAAGTTTTTTCCGATTAACTGATCTTTAGTTTTTCTATCATCTCATCAGAGACGAATATATATACTGTTATAGAATGCTCTTAGCTGAACAGAACATTGTGGGATTCAGTTCATGAAAAAAAATATTAGAAATTTCTTAATCTACTTAAACAAGATTTTTACATTTTGGCATTATGCCATAGAAAAAAAAATATCCCGGCGCATTTCCGCTAGCTCTACCAACCCAAATTTCAAGGGCCTACCCTGAAGATTTTTTTAAATTTTTGAACAAACTCTATTAAACAAACTCATAAAATATATTTTCCCTGTTTAAACCAGTCAAAAACTTGTTAAAAGATGAGATTACATGCCTACCTACCGACCCTAATTTTGTTCAGCATATTTATATTTAAAAGCGGAAACACAGTTATTATTCTGTTATGACTTAGCGTCGATAAAATACGTTACATGAAGTATAATAATTGTTTCGATTGCATTTCTGAATGATCGGTTCATGTAGTAATCTAATTTGAACTTTCGGCGTTTTATAGAATAGAAAAGAATAGAAGATTTTTATTTCCCAAATTTCAGGGGCCATAAAGGGCATAGAATTAGTTACAATTGATTGACATAATTGATAATTACAACAATAAACATCGCAGTGTACATGTAAATGTATATTTAGTATATTAGCATTGGCCAACAACAATATATATATTGTGAATAAAAGAATAAAATTACATAATATGCATTCATTCTCAAATTATTTACTAGACTTGGTGTCAATATTCATACCTGTTCTCCTTAATTCAAAACATTTTATATATACATTGTATGCAAATGTGGAGAAAAGGACCCCAAAATATACATGTGTGAAATGTCCAAATATATCTTGGACACTGTTTCAGTATTGTCTGTGTAGTAGTAGTCCAAATAATTGTCTCCGTAATTCCTTTGATATAATAAATGTCAAGTAATTGTCTGTTTGTACAGGTCTTTCAATTGGGAATAAAGGATATCAAGAATATGAAATTCCAAGTTTTTTTCAAGTTTCTAAATGAAATTATCCTACATGTGTAATTACTGATTACTTCCGCACAGTTTTCACTGTTCTATAAAAACGAATGTAGTTAAAAATAAATCTGGAATTCTGGATCACTTATCAAACTTCCGACTGCAAATATAAATGTTTGAGCCAACGAATACATTGAAATCTGCATTATTTCCTTTTTGTAAAATTGGAAATTTCAAAATATGTCTATATATAGAATTTTAATAATTGATCCATATATCAATGTTTTAAAAAGTTTAATCTATAAAAGTGTTGATTGGAAAGAAGTTGCATGCATACAATTTGGACTAGACATTTGTTATATAAGACATGTAGAAGAGTATAATTTATACACTGAACATTTAATTCCTTTTCTCGAATAACTTGATTTCTTGTAAAAGACTGGTTTGTTAAAATGTTTGTAACAATGATTCAGACATGGACGGTAAAACTTTTCATCGAACTTTTTGTTTTAAACACTTTTATATTGCATGTTTGTGGTACTTGTTAAACTGGTAAATAATCTTCGGGTCATCTTGGCTTAATGTCTGTGACTGTTGGATCCATCAGACTGAAGTATAAATGGTAAATACATCGGGGAATCCGATGCATTGTTTGCTAGAGAAAGTATCATGAATGAATTTACAGACTCTTTGTTTACCTATAGATGGTTTTTGTGTGTGTATTTTGGTCGGTGTGTCCTTGGCATATACTCACACCTCTTTTTACTCACATTAAAGTCGCATTTTGCATAATGTATGCCACTTTTTTAAATGTAAAGTATCATATGAAATTCTTGTAGAGGAAAAGTGTCGAATATTCCAAACGTGTCCAATAGACGACGTGAAAATGGTAAATAATAAAAACCATCTTAAAAAGCTATTGAATTCATTTTTTTCTCACTCTGAGCATTTTAAAGTTTTGGTAAAAGTTTGGGTTTAAACATCTTCCAGGAAATATCCACCCCTGGTTTCTGAAGATGGACAGTATTAAATATCTCGAAATAATCAATAAATATCTGTCATTTTATTTTTATAAAATGTTTAATAAAATTTACACACTTTTTAATTGCAGACTGATAATGAATGGAAAAGGTCCAGATGCAGTAAAATTGATAAAAGACGTGAGTGTAAATGGTAGAGCCTGCAAACAAACACCAACAATAAATGCCTTAGCCATTTGTGCAAGATCCAACGACCCGAAAACAAAAGCAGCTGCCTATAGCATATTGCTCGATGTTTGCAGAATACCAACCCATCTGTTTGAATTTGTCAACTTATGCGAGCAAGAAAGTGCTGGTTCGGGATGGGGAAGGGCTCATAGATCTGCCATCGGTAAGTGGTATAACCAGTTTGAAAAAGATCCCAAGAAGCTTGCATTACTAACAACGAAGTACAAGGCAAGACATGGCTGGAGTCATAAAGATGTAATTAGACTCGGGCATGTGAAACCAAGAAATAGTCCGGTCGGTTTGGTCATCAGATATATCATCAAGAACATGGAAGATGCAACATTTATGCCCCAGTATGATAGAAATCCAGAGATGGCCTCGGTTAAAGCTTTCCTCGACGCAGTTGAACAGGCTAAAAAATGCACAAAATCAGACATTGAGAAATTGCGCGCTTTGATTGCTGAACATCAGTTAGTTCGAGAGCATGTACCTACCGACTTACTGGACTCCAAAGAAGTTTGGGACACAATGCTTCGTCTGATGCCGATGACAGCAATGATAAGAAACCTTGGGAAAATGTCAAGCCTAGAGTTACTTGAAGTCGATTCGTTTGGTGAAAAACTTGTAACCGAAAAGCTCGGAGACAAGAGTATCTTGAAAAGGTCTCGAATACATCCATTCACCATTCTGATAGCATGGAACCAGTACAAAGCAGGTCGAGGCGACAAGGGAAAACTTTCATGGCAGGTTAATGATAACATAGTTAAAGCACTCGAGAAAGCTTTCTACGAAGCTTTCAGTTTCGTACAACCAACTGGTAAAAAATTCTGCCTAGCAGTAGACGTGAGTGGTTCCATGAGACAACCAGTCATTGGTGCGTCGTCCATTGAAGCCCGCGATGCATCAGCTGCAATGATGTTATTAACGGCTAAGACTGAGAAAGATTATGAAGTTGTTGCTTTCTCAGATGAACTGACAAGGATGGATATAAGAAAAGAAGACACCTTGGAGACTGCTATTCGGAAGTGCTCTGATCTTCCATTTTCAAGTACCGATTGTGCCTTACCAATGAAATGGGCCATGGAACATAAGAAGAAGTTTGATGTATTCGTCGTGTACACAGATTCTGAAACGTACTACGGAAATATTCACCCAGCAACTGCGTTACAACAGTACAGGAACCATACCAAAAATCCGGAAGCGCGGTTGATAGTGGTCGGTATGGTTAGCAATGGTTTTAGCATCGCCGATCCCAAAGATCCGCTAATGATGGATATCATCGGCTTTGATACTGAAGCTCCAAAGGCTATGAACAATTTCGTCAGTGGCAAATTTTAACTGAATAAAGTTTTTTTGGACTATTGATTAGAACTTTTAGTTGAAATAGACGTAACATTTTCATATAGATATCGTGGTTTGTGTTTGTTATATAATGCATCCAATCACGTGACATTGAATTCACAATTGTTTATGATTTTGCTTATTATTAATACCATGAACTATTATTGGCATAGAAAATTAACACCATTAGCTACACAAGTCTTATATAATTGTATACATGACAATGTCGTAAATTCTTAAACAATAAACGATATTTTGCAAGATCTGACACAATGATATCCGATAAATATACCCTATATATGTATATTCTATGCATACTACCAGAGACATTTATACACATATATGTGTATGTCTCTGATACTACTCAAACTTTGCACACTCATTTACTTTGTACGCAAAAAGGGGCTGTAGATTTTACTCAGAAGAGTACGTGTAATCATTTCATTCGTATTGATGATATTGTAAATATCTTTTCATTGCTGTATTTTGATTTTGATTTTGATTTTGTTTGTTTATCATATATGTATATACAATGAATTTTTTTAAATTGTTACCATGCAAGTGTTAATTAGATGAATTCAAATAAAAGATTTACAAGTCAATTTTGTTTAGCTAAAATTGAGAATGGAAATGTCATGGTTAGGTAAAACAAAAAAAAGTTTTTGTTTAATAGAGTTTCCATCTATAGGAAAATATGGTATGCAGGTAGGAATCATTCTTTGTTTTACTTCGATTATAAAGTGACCGCGACTGTAATTTTATCAACATTGACTACCAAATGAACATACAAATTTATAAATTTAATCCATCTGCAGCGCTTTTTCTGTATTTACCTTCATCAGGAACGCTAAAACACGATAATTTGTTAGCCAATGATGCACAAAATAAACGCGAGGAGCTTTACGACTGAAAGGGACCGAAAAGAATCGAACCCATCTATAAGGTCAACTTTGTCTGATCCAGAGGGAGCCTTTGAACTGCCAATGAAATTTTAGGGTAGGTATGGAAACCATTAAGATCAGTACTTTTTATACGACAGCAAAATTTCGTCGTCGTCGTCGTCAGAAGACATTTGGTTTCCAGACAATAACTTGAGTACACATGAGTGTATGGATCTCTATGAAATTGTACGGTCTACCACAAGGTTCCATACCACAACAGAAATGTTGGGATTGATTTTGGGGGTTATTGAGTTAACTGTTTAGGAATTAAGGGTCCAATACAAGCATTATTCTTGTTTCAGGACAATAACTTGTAAGTGTATGGATCTCTATGAAATTATACCACATGGTTCCATACCTCAAAAGGAAGGTATGGCCCAAACCGTTTAGGAATTAGGGGCAACCAAAACTAGGATTTTCTGGTCAATAACTTTAGTGTAAGTGTATGGAACCTCCATTCGCGCCCTATGCGACACATGGCGCTAACGGTAGTTGTAAGTGTATGGATCTCTATGAAATTATACCACAATGTTCCATACCAGAAAAGGTAGGTTGGGATTTATTTTGGGGGTTATGGCCCTAACTGTTTAGGAAAAAGGGGCCAAAACAATACTTTTTATACGACCGCAAAAGTTTTGTGTTCGTATTATGTTATATGGCGATGTCTGCGTCGTCTGAAGACATTTTTTGTTTCCAGACAATAACTTGAGTATAAGTGTATGGATCTCTATGAATTTGTAGCACAAGGTTCCATACCACAATAGGAATATTGGGATTGATTTTGGGGGTGATTGTCCTAGCTGTATAGGAATTAGGGGCCAAAAACAAGCATTTTCTTGTTTCAGGACAATAACTTGTGTATAAGTGTATGGATCTCTATGAAATTTTACCAGAAGGTTCCATACCTCTAAAGGAAGGTTGGGATTGATTTTGGGTGTCATGGCCCAAACCGTGTAGGAATTAGGAGCAGAAAAAGGGTCCAAACAACTATTTTCTAATTTCTGGACAATAACTTGAGTATAAATCTATGGATCGCTATGAAATTGTACCACAATGTTCCATACCATAAAAGGAAGGTTGGGTTTGATTTTGGGGGTTATGACTCTAACGATTTAGGAAAAAGGGGCCAAAAACAATACTTTTGTAATACTTTGTATAAATTGCTTATTTCTTGACCAATTTCAATGGGGTTTAATTCAAAGTCTTGAATGCTTGGGGTTCTTCAATATGCTAAATCTAACTGCGTATTAAAAATTTGGATGTTAGGCCCTGTTTTTGAATTAGTCCACATTAAGGTCCAAAGGGTCCAAAATTAAACTTTGTTTGATTTCATCAAAAATTAAATCACTGGTGTTCTTTGGTATGCCGAAAATAACCGTGTATTAAGATTTTAATTTTGGGGCCTGTTTTCAAATTCGTCCACATTAAGGTCCAAAGGGTCCAACAAAATTAAACTTTGTTTGATTTAAAAAAAAATGAATTCTTGGGGTTCTTTGATATGCTTATTCTAACCGTGTAATTAGATTTTTTTATTTTGGGACCGGTTTTCAAAATGGTCTACATTAAAGTCAAGGGTCCAAAATAAAACTTATTTTGATTTAAAAAAAAAAATCAATTGAAGGGATTCTTTTGATATGCTGAATATGAACATGTATTTAGATTTTTGATTTTGGGCCCAGTTTTCAAGTTGGTCCAAATAGGGGTCCAAATTAAACTCTCTTTGATTTCAACAAAAAATGAATATATGGGGTTCTTTAATATGCTGAATTTAACCGTGTATTTAGATTTGGATTTTGGGCCATATTATCAAATTGGTCTACATTGAGGTTCAAAGAGTCCAAAATTATACTTTATTGTTTGATTTCAATATGAATTAAATTCTTGTGGTTCTCTGATTCTAACCATGTTCAATGTATTAATTAGATTTTGGATATTGGACCATAATAGGTAAATGTCTAATTTCATTTTTTTAAGTTCTTACACCACTTACATTCTCATTATTATGATCTTGAGTTTATACATGTGTGTACAGATAAATAACGCAATTTAAAAGCTTTGTATGCCCCCGCCGTAGCGAAGGGGGCATTAAGTTTTACCCTTGTCCGTCTGTACGTACGTACGTACGTCCCGAAATTGGTTTCCGTTCTCTAACTTGAGTTTGCCTCAACCAAATGTTATGAAACTTATACACAATGCTTATTACCACAAAACACAGATCAAGTTTGAATTTTGGTGGCGTCACTTTAACCGATCTAGAGTTATGCCCCTATATAAAAGGAAATATTGCAAAATTTTTAGTTTCCGTTCTCTAACTTAAGTTTGCCTCAACCAAATGTTATGAAACTTATACACAATGCTTATTACCACAAAACACAGATCAAGTTTGAATTTTGGTGGTGTCACTTTAACCGATCTAGAGTTATGCCCCTTTATAAAAGGAAAAATTGCAAAATTTTTATTTTCTTCTAAATATCAAGTTTATATAAATTATTTTTAAAATATGAGTTATCTTCCTTTGACCATGATTATTGTGAATCAACTACAATCAATGCTTTATACAATGCAATGTTTAATTTTGACTTCCACTGATAAAACACAGATCAAGTTGAATTTGGGTAGTGTCACTTTAACCATTATTGAGTTATGCCCCTTTATAAATAGAAAGATTGCAAAATTTTTTAGTTTCCATTCTGTTACTGAAGTTTTCCCCAGCCAAACATTATGAAACCTATACACAATATTCATTACCACAAAACTCAGTAAGGATCAAGTACAATTGTTTTGTTTCAGTTCTCTAACTTGAGTTTGCTTCAACCAAATGTTATGAAACTTATACACAATGCTTATTACTACATAATACAGATTAAGTACGAAATTAGGTGGCAACACTTTTACCATTCTAGTTAACCTTGGGACCATTAAATTGGTTCGAGTCAACCAAAATTTCATCTAATTTCGACTCACCATGTAACTGTAGAGTTAACTGTACACGCATGTGCCTATTATAAAATGGGTTTGTTCAAAAGCTGAGTTGATATTTAATTTTTTTTTTGCATTTTGTCTCGCTTGTCGCAGACTGCCAGACATAGGGATTACAATACGGCGGTAGCGGCTTGATTCATTTGTATAAAGATTTATATTTCATGGGGTAGAAGACCTGGATGCTTCGTGCCTTTTATAAAGATGAGTTATGTTACGAAGTGTCTATCTGTCATATGTCCATTATCCTTGACCTCGTTTTTCATGGTTCAGCGACTGCTTAAAAAAGCTATAGTTTTTGTCATGTGAATTTCTTAATTATTGCGAGTAACATGATAACTATATATTTGGCTTATGAGATCCTTGCAAGGCCTACATGTCCGTCAGATAGGGTTCACCTGACTTAGACCTGATTTTCATGGTTTATTGGTCAATGTTAAGTTTTTATGTTTTAGTCCGTTTCTCAGATGCTATAACATTAGGACAGCTATATTGAGTGTATGATTTTGTGGTGTAATGTCTGTCTGGCAGGTTCGTCTGACCTTGACCTTATTTTTCCTGGTTCATTGATCAAAGTTAAGTTTTTTTGGTTAGGTATGTTTCTCAGTTACTATTCTCTAAATCAACTATATTGGGTGTATGAAATGATTGACATGTCTGCCTGTAACAGATATTCCATCCCTTTGTCCATTTGCACCGATATATCTTATTTTTTGTAATATTTCACTTTATTTTACCAACTATTCTATATATATACAATTTTATGTATACAAGATACCTTGCCAAAAAAATTGGTAGTGCCCTTCCAGATCACCTGCATTAGTACACCTTCTGTTTTGGTGGGGTTCGTGTTATTCGGTCAAGTTTTTTTGTGCAGTTTATGTCTTTCGTCTATTTCTTTTGTCTGCATAACCGTGTGACTTTGCTCCTCCGTATATATCTTCTTACTTTTTACAAGTTTAGGGACAACTTGAACTTCATTTTTAAAACAATCGGGATTGGTAAATGGATGGATGAAGCGGAAAATATTACACAAATAATGAGAACACCTATTGTATGAACTTTTTTGTGTATACACAAACCTGATTCGCTGAACTTTTTGAACGCACAATTTCACATGACGAGGAAAACGTGTCAAACTATCCGGATACATTTTTTGACTCCTCAGCCAACAGGCCTTGCTCTTTATTTCATGGCGTATAACTTTCAATATAATACCCTCACACTACGAAATCATAACACCTCATAGCCTTTTCAGTGGGTACCATATGGAACTGTTTCATTACACAGTGGCGGATCCAGAGGGGGGCGTAGAGGGCGTACGCCCCCCCTTTGCTTGAACTTTTTTTTTTTTGTAAAATGATTAATCAGACTAGACTTCGTGAACTTTGCCATTTTCCGCGTATTTATTTTTTATGCGACAATTCTTTACCGTATAAAGATATGTTTCGCTCGTATTTACTGTAATATATTATTGATTATGTCAAAATCATGTGATTCGCTACGGTGGAGTTGACCAGTGCGTCGAAAAAATGTCACTCAGTCATTTTGAAATTCAAATTACAGTAACACATTGCTTAGGCTGGGGATGACAAGCTTGACACATTCAAAGCGACAAAGGATTGAACAAGAACGTATTTATTGACTTATATTTCACAATTCCACCGAACAGAAAGTAATAC